TGTCTTTATTCAAGTTTCAGAAGCCTTGTCAGCATCATGACAGTAATACAGAAGCCAGTGTTCAAGTTGTCATAAAAAGAATGATTAAAGGGGGCCAACTAATTATTTCTTCTCTTCATTTGTTTCTGATTTATTCCACTGAAAAAAATAGGCAAGAATCGTACAATACATTCTTTAGAAACCTGGGACGTTAGACAGCATTAAGTTTAGAAAATACCATCGCATGTCTACCTTCCCTTCTATTGTTCCGTGAAAAGACATCCTCATAGGTCAACAAAGATAACTTTCAGCTGAATACAAAAGAGAACCATTCAGTTTTTCAATTGATAAATTCTCAAAGGAGATTAGTGATACTTTTCTGAATATTCTTAAGCTTAACAAACCTTTCATACTAGACTTAAAAGTTTTCTTCCAAAATCAAGCAACAAGAAAAAGTACCTTAGAACCCCTTTTACAGGCAGTGTCAGGGGTAAACCTCAACACCACCTTTTTAAACATCTCCAGACAGGCTTCTGAAAGGTTCTTGAATGTTTCACATTAGAAAGAAATTATCCGTACTTTTCTTTAATATTCTCAACAGACTATATTAAAATTTAGCAAGTTGTGAATATTTTATTCTACTTTCATTTTTTTAAAATCTACAGTATTTTTTCTATTTTGAGGTCTTATTTTACTTAACCAAAAAAAAAAATCAATTGTTCAAAATGCTGACAAATAGGAAAAAAATATCTGTTTTCCATTTTATTTTATTCCTTGATTTCCAAACCCAAATAAAGACATTTCTGGTCCTGTGGGGTTCCTGCTCACTTCTATTTCCCATGATCTTACTGGCACAATGAAAAGACCCATAGCATGGGAAACAAGGTGTCATTTCTTGGTTAAAGGTTATGCGGTCACACCCATACCCTCCTGATAGCAGCATCAAAATCCCTGCAGAGAGGGAAAGTGAAAAGTCATCTTCCTGACGACCTGGATCTTACTGACAATGCAATCCCTGCATGAGTTATTCTTGTCCATCAGATTAGCACCACATATATGTACGTTGTTTCCCTGTTGCTCTTTCAGTCACCAAGCCTGCGATTAGAACCAGTGTCTATCAGAGTCAATGCACACATCTCCCTTTGGGGTATTTCATTCCCACACGCACCTTCTACTTTAGGTAATGAGGTTCCTACCTCTCACTTTCCCCTCGGTCTCAGGCAGTGCATCCCAAGCTACAGTGACAGCTGTAGGTTTGCCATTGACTGGCCAGACGGCTAAGTTTTCAGGAGCTGAGGTAGGAGCTGCAAAAGGACAAGGATCCGAGGTTTAAAAATGTCCTTACAGATATTCTAAAAGTAAATGACATATGGGCCCCACATGCACAGTTTTGATTGAAGAGCTACTGGGTTCATTTTTATTATCCATGAGAGAAGATTCTCCACTTGCCCCTGTGTAGACAGTGATTTATGTCAGTTTTACCAGCTCCTAGATTGAGGTTAGATATAGACGGGGAAATGTTTTGAGAAATTCAGAATCTCTCTCATTGCTGAATATTGAAATATACAAAGATTAAAATCCAGTTCCAACTTCTTTTTTTAATGTATTTAATTTATTTTAAAATTTTATTCATTTTTTTGAGGGGTAGGGAGATAATTAGGTTTATTTATTTATTTTTAGAGGAGGTACTGGGGATTGAACCCAGGACCTTGTGCATGCTACACATGCATTCTACCACTTGAGCTATACCCTCCCCCCAACTTCTTTTTAATAAAAGTTTTAAAGACACAGTTTAAAAGTAAATAATTGTAGCCTTGAATATTGACCAGATTTCTCCCCCCAAATCAAAGGCAAACTCAACCTTAAGAAAGGATTGTCTCGAGAGGGAGGATGCAGCTCAATGGTCGAGCGCATGCTTAGCATGCATGAGGTCCTGAGTTCAATCCCCAGCACCGCCATTAAAAATGAATGAATGAATAAATAAATAAACCTAATTACCAACCCCCCAAAAAAGACAGGTCTGTCCTCTACTCTAGAGCCATGTGTTACGTGGGACATTCACACATACAGTGGAGATTTATAGAGGAGCCACTTGGTTGTAATATGCTCCACATGTCAGAATAACATGCTAATGAAAATAAAGAGGCAGTGAAGGATAAAACATGGACGTGAGGGAACGGCTTTACCTTCATACATAGAGATCCTTCCAAGATTTAGGGTTCATGTTACTTTAAAAAATGCCTCTGCTGGACCTTGTCACTATTGACTTCTTAAACTACTTTAAAATCTTCATTTAGGGGTAATTCCCAGGTTGAGAGTCCAAAGGCCACCCTGAGTACCAACCAGATTCCGGTGTTCTCTGGAAGACAGATGTACTCCATTTGCCATCTCTCTCCCCCTGTGAAATGCGGACTGCAAATTCGTACATGGTGTCAGGAACCAGGCTGTCGATCAGCACACGTCTGTTGGAGACCTGCTTATAATCCCACCTCGCCAATTCCCCCTTTTCTCGATAGCGCACCGTGTACTGTCTGGAAGAAAACACAGGACAGCCACACACACATGCAGGTGATCAGTTCTCTGCAGCTGAACACTGAATTCCTTGATTTCTTCTTCCCCATAAGTGATGGCTTTTGGATGTAAGTGGAGAAATCAAGGAAGAGAAAATTCTAAACTTTTGACTTGATTATTGGCTCAAAGAATCTACTTAAGTTCCAGGGAGAGGTGTCTCAAGTTGGCCAGGAAAGATGGAGTTTCGTGTCTCTTCAAGACAAAAACATCTAATTGCTCAAAAGACCAGGCAGAGAGTAAAAGGAAATGGACAGAAGGGGGACTGTTTTTATGAGGCAAGTGCCTTATCAGGGATGTGTGTGTGTGGATGTGTATGTACATGGTGTGGAAACAGCGGTGTTGAGAATCAGAACTGGCTCAAAGCATCTTGGCTGTCCAGAAAAGAAAGATAAGAAGACACATTCCATGACAGAGCAGGCATGTTTTCTGTAAGTTCAGGAAGACAGGCAGCATATGGTTTTGAGTAGACTTATTACCATGAGATGGAACAAAAATGTGTAACAAACAGAGAGGAGAGAGGAGATCATAAAAGACTTCTACGGTGTGATGAGCAGGTAGCGACGTACGGCGTGACCAAACACGGCCATGTCCGATGACCCCAGACAGAAGACATCCTCAACACTCGACATTACGAGTGGCAAATGCCACTTAAGACACTGCTTTTCAGAGGAGTTTTCTTTGTGGCCACTCTACAGTAGGAAGCATCTGATGCATAAACAATGTGCTATTCATTATGATATTTAGTTAGTTAGGGTCAAACTTCAGTTTCAGGCACAGCACACCAATTTGCATAGGAATTCTGCTAAGAAAACTCAAGCCCTCTTTTGTTTTCATCAAGATATTGGAAATCAAAGTCGAAAGGTAATCAGGTACACTTTGTGTTGGGGGCGCCCTATGGCTTGGAAGAGAATCACCATGCATCTTCTGAGGTCGTTCAAAAGGAGGAGATGTCTTTTTTAATTAGCAGACAGTGATGGAGGCTCTATCTAGCACAAACCAAAATCTATCTATATCTAATACAAATACACATATGTATATACACTCAGCATTATATTCCATTCACTTGTTAAAGTCTATTCACTTTTCCTGGTTGCAAATAGGTTCAAAAATTAATGCACAATGACTGGCCCACCAAATCTCTGGCTTTCTCTTGGCTCCATAAACTGCTTAGGCATTTAACACATAAAATTGTTATGACTATATTAATCTGCCACTAGAAGAAATGGCATTCACCAGTGGCTTTTTTTAACACAAAAATTATTTTAACCTTACAGTTGATTTTTCTTCTGTTGCTATTGCAAGTGAGTATAAAAACCGGAGTAGTCTAACTTCATGGCTTAAGACAAAATACAGCTTTTTATTATGCACAGATGAGCCGGACATGAAGCAGTTCAGTGTTTGAAGACTGTCTAAAGAGGAACCACAGTGTGCAGGCATTAGATAAATGCCCATCCCTTCACACAGACCCTTCCTGAGGCTGCTCCTCCCAGATAACAGGAGGACGGTAAGACCCATCTTGGTAAGTCATCCCAAGATGGGCCCACCTCCTCTGTGCATGAACAGAACATCAATGAGATAAAGCAAAATCCAAATGGGGACAAAGAAAGAAACAGAATCTAGGGAAGTGCCAGACACAAGATAAAACTTTGAACACTTGAGATATGAGGTCCTGCTGTGAGTCTTACACGAGAGGCCCTGGTGGCATCTATTTGTGGGAAACGGGTACCACACTTGGGATTAGCTAGACTGTCATGAACTGTATACCCATCAGCTACAAAAAAGGCAGCGTTCACACAGGTCAGAGAATACAATCGTTCAAATAAATACATGTCTCTTCAGGGCCAGAAAAACTACATCTCTCAAACATTAAATAAAGACAAAGAAATAAGGAAAAGTACCTTGATGCAACAACTTTTTTCTGTTTTTCCAAAACAGGATCCACCCAGGCAACCAGCACAGACTGGGATGACATAACCCGGACGTTGATGTCTTCGGGTACATCCAGTTCATCCTCTTCTGCAATGACAACAGTGCACGTGGAAAGGCTGTCTCTAACAATAGGCTTTGCCCTGAGTCCCTCTAGTCTCCAGCATTTATTTTTTTAATTGCTTATGCTTGATGTAGATCAAATGAGATGAACAGAAATTCAAGCAATGATCTGATTGGTCCACCCAGAAAAACAAAAATCTCCACTCTCGTTCTTCTGTTAAACATATTCTAAGCTGCTCCAGCCAATCGACATAAAGAACGGTACAAAAGGAGGTGCATTGCCCTGGCCAAAGAGATGCCAAATAATTCAGCATTTTCTCAATATACACTGTAAGCTTCTGGAAAATAATACAATTTTTACAGGAAACAAAAATTTAGGGAAAAAGACCAATTCAGAGCATTTCCTGGGTAATCATGGCATGAAATAAAAATTCTGGTTCAACAATTGCACAAGTCACATTGAGTCCCATGTCCTTGCAATTTAGAATATGTGATTCCAAGGCAGATTAAAAGTTATATTCAGATAGAATTCAGTGTGCCAGTTTCCAGTGGAATACATCAAAGTCACAAAGTTGATAATTTTTGTTCAGTCTCTGGCATTGAGACCCACAAGATGTCTTCAGTTTTACTTTTTAGTCTCTTGGGGGTTTTGTGTGCTTTTTTGTTTGTTTTGTTTTGTCTTTTCACCTTTCAAGGACTATGTTTCAAATGGATGTGGCTTTTATTACAAATAGGGGAAGGTGGAAAATATGTAGTCTGTTAGAAAAGTGACACAGGGACTTCTAGAGCAGCAATGAATGAATAATAAAAGTGACACATCACATATGGGGGACTTTCATGAGACAATGTACAATTATAATAATTATCAATCTAAAAGTATGACATATAAATATATAATGATACAACATATTATATAATTCAAATAAATTATGAATTCATGAAAATAATAATTCATGAATTAGGTTGCCTCTTTAAGGCACATGATCCAGAAAAAGTATATACAATTTGTTGCTATGCGAGTGATATAAAAAAATACCTGTGAATGGATGTGGGAAAAAAGTATCCCTTAGTAAGTGACCAAAGATCAGGCTGTCAGCAAGCCATTTTCTCCCTCATTCTTTTCAATGCCATTTTTAGGCAATGTTAGCTGAAATAAAGTTTGAGTGCATATCCTGCAGGCTGCCCCCTTCACACCTACCCTCCTTTCTCTCTCTTTGTTCACAGTCTATCACCAAGGCAGTGTATGCATGAATCAGACTGTGCCTTTAAATGAAATAAATGCTTGCTGCTCCTATCACAGCAAATCTGAAGCCATTCAAAATATACAAAGATAGTGGGGGAGGGTGTAGCTCAGTGGTAGAGCACATGCATAGCATGCATGAGGTCCTGGGTTCAATCCCCAGTACCTTCATCAAAAAAAAAAATTAATAAACCTAATACCTCCCCCCAAGACAAAAACAAACAAATAAAAACAAAATATTCAGAGACAGATTTCATCACAAGAACCTCCGAGTATAAAAGCAACACGCATGCCTCCAAAATGTGACCAAGTCCGCCCTGCTGTTTTCTTTTATACTCAAGGAAATCCATGTACTTCATTGCCCAGCCAGCATCATTTGGAAACAACCCTGCATTTGCCCTAAACCATGGCTGGACCAGATGCGTTCTTAGAGACATACCTGAAATCTTCCGCTTCGTGAGAGCAGCCCTGTAGACTGGCTGACTCCGCCCCCGGGAGTTCATGGACTGCAGGGAGACCACATACACGGACTCAGAGGCTGCGGACCAACAAGCGAGGGATCAGGTTCTGCACCTGGTTTTCCAGAATGCGCACCCCTGCAGGTCTGTGTTCCCCTCCCCTTACCTCCTTCCCATCCCATCTCTCCTGGGCAACTAAGGATGAGACCAAGAACTGCAGGAACTAAACTCAGGAAAAACATTATTATGTCAGGAAACATGCAAGTGATTTTTACCTACATTTCCTGAAGAATGGGTTTCTATCTCATCAATATCGAGGAAAGATGAACAATTTTTAAAAAAGAAAAGAACAGTATATCTACCCACATAATTCCCCAAATTTCTTTTTACCTCCAAAATAGAGAAGAGGGGAATAACTTTGTTTTTATCTGTCATCCAAAAGAAGGGACAGACACCAGGCTAGCAGCCAGGATGGCATGCTGTTGCCCTTCAAACTAAAATCCTCAGAACGGGGTCTCTGAAGATTAGCTAAGAGCAAGTGGAAAAGTTTAAATTTATCCTTTATTTCTGGATTATTCTTTCAGATGGTTCCCCCTTACCCCCTAAATTGTGCTTTGGCCCCACTAATACCCAACTTAACCTCAAATTTAAAACTTTATTTGGAGACAAATAACAATAATGAATTAAAACATAAAACTCTCAAGTACTATGGAATCACAGAGTCTGAGAACCAAGTGAAACATTAGCTACCTTTCAGTTTGACCTTCTCATTTTACAAATAAGGACATAAAGCCATAAAAATGGATTGACTTGCCCAAGGTCACATGCTTAAGAAGGGATCAAATCGTCCCTAAATCTAAGATGGCTAATGTTCAACTCCAAGTTTTAGCCACCCAGGTTCCTGCAGCAGCCTTAATCAATTCAAGAATAAAAATGAGGTAACCTGACATACTTCTCTTTTTTTAATTGAAGTACAGTTGATTTACAATGTTGTGTTAGTTTCCAGTGTACAACTTAGTGATTCAGTTATATATCCATATACATATTCCTTTTCATATTCTTTTGCATTATAGGCTATTACAAGATACTGAATATAGTTCCCTGTGCTGTACCATAGGACCTGCTGTTTATCTATTTTATATGTAGTAGTTTGCATCTGCTAATCCCAAATTCCTAACTTATCCCTCCCCACCACTTTCCCCTTTGGTAATCATTAGTTTGTTTTCTGTGTCTGTGAGTCTGTTTCTATTTTGTAAGTAAGTTCATTTGTTTTATTTTTTTTAGATTCCACATATAAGTGATACCATGTGATATTTGTCTTTCTCTGTATGACTTACTTCACTTATATGATAATCTCTAGATCCATCTATGTTGCTGCAAATGGCATCATTTCATTCTTTTTTATGGCTGAGTAGTATTCCATTGTGTACATATGCCACAACTTTATCCATTCATCTGTCAGTGGACACTTAGGTTGCTTCTATGTCTTGGCTATTGTAAACACTGTTGCTATGAACATTGGAGTGCATGATTTCCAGTGCAGATAGTTTTGTCATCAGGTAATACCTAAGTAAATTAACAAGGTGGCACTAAGATCCTAAAGGAGACTTTAACACTGGTGTCCTTCCAGCAGAAATTGCAAACTTTCATGCGGCAGTGAGAAAATAAACCTATTGTTTTCACAAACAGCATGTCGAGGAGACCCATGTTCAAAAAACTCACACTCTGTTTATATAAAGTAAACTTCTGTGGACTAATCACATTTTAAGGGAAGGGGTAATACTTGACCACCTGCTCTGCTGACAACCTCTCTTTCTCTCTCTTCCTTCCCCCCTACACACACACACACACACACACACACACACATACACACACACAGGACAGGTGAAACTCACACTGTTACATAAGCAAATTATTTAGGCTCTCACATCTTATTCAGAGAATTTTGAAATGTATGTTTTACAAACAGAAGAATTAGATTCGTAATACTTGGATTCACAGGACATCAAACTAAGCCTCTCAACGTTGGAGTCCCCTCAGAGCTGTTAATTTCTTGGTGCTACTGACAATGGAATCACATCAAACGTCAGCGAAGGGAAAACTGCCGTCCAACCTCACCATCCAGGAACATGCATCCATAACTAAATGGGAAAAGCAGTGGCTCCTCATTTTTCATTAACCACCAAGAAAAGAGTAATTTCCCACAACTGACTCATTTCCATCTTTGCTATGTATTTCTTAAAGTTCTGGGATTTTCCGAAAGCCCGGATTCCTGATTCACTGTGCTCTCCAAGTCAGCTTGGCCCAAGATGATCATGAGGGAACAGCCTGTACTGCAGTGAACTACGACCACAGCTCATGTGTAATGGGTCTAATCTCTGTGCCGAGCTAAGCCTTTCACATCAATTCTTCATGTGGTCCTGGCAAAGCCCTGAGAGGAAGCTACACTCCTTGTCTTCTTTTCACAGATGAGGAACCAGCTCAGTGGCGTGAGATGAGCCCAAGGTCGTGGCCTAAATGCAGGGCTGGTCTCATTCCTAGATCTGTGTGGCTCCAAACCCCAGGCTCTTACTAATGCAGGTGGGGAGGGAGCAGGGCCCAGAGCTCACCGGGCACTGGCCCTGGGGCCAAAAAAGCGACTGACAGCTGGGTAACAATCCATCCCTTTCTCATAGAAATATAAGAATGACACAGTGGTACAAAAGCACACTTCTTCCCATGCTCCTGATTATTGAATAAAGGGTAGAAAAAAAAATTTCCAAAATGATGCCAACATCACCAGCTCAGTGACCCCGGGGACCCCAGGGCCACCCCTTCTGGTCAGAGCCACCACTCCCCCTCCACTCCCCTGACCTCAGAGTGATGTGGCAGAAACTCTGAGTGTCTTCACTTCTGAAGATCCGTAGAAGCTTTCTGAGGGACTCCAAATGTGCACGTGCTCATTCTGTGTTCCTGTCCCACTCTCCCATCACCCGGCTGGCTCCCTCCTCTCCCTCTGCACTCCCACAGCGCCCGGGGCTCCTCTAACCACAGGACTCCGCACGGGTGCTCCCTCCCAGGGGTCCAGAGTCTTCTGCCTCTGGGGCCTGCCTGGCCGTCTCCAGGCAGCTTTCACAACAGTGAGCACTACGTGCTCTGGGTATCGGCTGTCTCTCATGGGGAACTGCAGGGGGCCGGGACCTGGGATGGTGTTTGACACAGAAGATGTCCGATAGGGTGTGTTTAATGAGTGACTCCAAGGGTAGGGTTTCTGCTGACTGGACCTCAGGCCTACTTTTCTCCAAGTCTCCTTAACGTCTGGCCATTCTCTTTTAGTACCACACTCTCAGTGGTTTCTGAGTTATAAACAGAATTAAAATCCTAAAAGCCTACACCAAGGAGACAGGCACCCCCTAACACAGTAGGCCCACTCCAGCATCCCCCAGGAATTCATGACATCCCATCCTCCCCGCCAGGATGGAGCAAGTGTCCAGGGAGACTCTCCTCCTCAGGTGACCTCTTCAGTCATTCATGATGGCAAGTCCAATGCTTTTTATCTGGTAATAATTCAAAAACCAGCAGGTTTCACTGGAAACCCAAGAGTCCTGTGCCGTCCATTTGGGCTGGGACCAGAGCCCACCTGTTACCTCAGTTCCAACATTTGCTCAAGTTCAGGAAGAAAAAACAAATTCTTCTCCTACACTCAGGTGAGCCAGGGGATCACTACTGAGAAAATAAAAAGTTAAAAGAATCTGTGGGATGAAAAACTTGTTGACCATAAGGGACATTTTAATGTGTGGTGTCTATGAAAGAAAAAGTGAGAACTTTCCACTTAGAGAAGCTCTCCTGCAGTATCAGAAATGCAAACCAAGTGACTGCTTATCTGCTGACATTCTGGGGAGAATTTGGCCCGAATCACAAAAACAGAGCCATTTGACACGCACAGAATAATTACTCAAGGGATAGGCCCAGGAATGAACGAATGAACAAACGAACGAATGAAGAGTCTCCAGATCGTTCTGTGGCTCCAGGTGACTGAGCCTGGAGCTCTGGGTCTCACTGCGGATACTGCAGCCAGTCTTCCCAAAGCACGGACAGCTCGGCCTTCTCCACTCTCTTCCGTGATCCATGTGGTTTCAGGTGGCTTTGGAGCAGACAGGTAGCTCGTCCCTTTCAGTTGGGAAAAGCCTGGAGTCTACTTTGAGATGGCTTCAATGCCACGCCGGGCTCACTGCCGCCTGTGCCCCACGTGGAGACCATGTGAGGCCCACAGAAGGCTAGGCTGACCCCGTGCTGTGAGCACCCAGTAGACTGTTCCAACAGCAGGTGGCTGAGCAGAGCAGTGAAGATAACTTCCAAGGCTCTTTCAGGGAGGGAACCCAGCCTGGCCTCCCGCTCCGTGTCTCCTCCAGATCAAATTTGCCCTGGTCAGTGCCGGCCCCGCAGCCCAGGGAGCCAAACTGGGGAGTCCTGAGGAGCTCAGAGCTGCTTGTGCAAACCCCAGGTTCAGGCAGACCTTGCTGCCTCGGCAGCCCTGCCCTCCCTGACTCAGGCACAGAGGAGCAGGACGGAGCGTGGGCTCTGCGGCCCGGCTTCCCTCTGAGGGGGTGACGGCAATGGGTCCAGCCACGCTGACCCAGTGCCCCCTGCCAAGCTCATCAGCCAGATAAGGAGGGAGGGAGAAGGACAGGAGTGTGGCGGCTACTGGCAGTGTGTCCACCCCTGAGGAAGCACCAGGCGTGAGGGATCATTGCGCCCTCTCGGAGGATGGCCGAAGTCCACTGCCCAGGCAGGTGAATGAGCAAGGCCAGCAGAGGTCAGGCCCCGAACCAAGCAGCCAAGCACGTGACCCCTCCCCTCCGCCCCCAAGGCCGATGCTCCTTCCACACAGTGGGGTCTGCAAAGGGGGAGGAGGGCAGGCTTGAACTGGTGGCTCCGTCAGCTGCCACCACGTTCCGTCTCGATGGGACCCAAGGTCCAGTGTCCTAGGATCGAAGATGAAGCTTAAATAGCAAACTGATGAAAGCAGAGCCAAGATGGGAAAAGCACACGCAGAAAAATGGCCCAAGTCAAGGAACTGGCGCAGTCGGGTCCGGAAGCCGCTGCCGGGCACTTGGGGAGGGCAGCCTTGTCCTGCCACCAACTAAAGCTTAAAAGGTTGGAGGCACGTGCAGAATACAGAGCAAAGAGTAAATGTGAATAATTGTAACGCCTGGAAAATGAACATTACAACTGAAACACAATGTTCCACCATGAACGGGCTTTGAAGTACTGAAATGTTTGCAGATCTCATTAAAATACCGATACATGAAACTCACCTAGTTTTTTAATCTCATGTGTTCGCTCATCTCTCGTCAGTGGAACATAATTCATCTTCCGGCCACTCTCCCCGTAGCCCAGAAGGAAACCGCGTGATCTGCGTGGACTCTTGGCTCCAGACAGGCGTGGCGCCTTCCACGCCACGGACAGCCGGTCGTCGGAGGAGCGGACGCGGACCCGCAAGGGCTTGTTGGGCACTTCCTTTTCTTAAAGAGGACATGACACAGAAACCATTAAACAGCAGACCCTTGGGTGCACCATGGAGGATATAAAGTGCGTCCAAAGACTGAGCCACAACAATCAGCAGGTGGGCTTAAGACATCCGTTTTCGGTAACCATGTTCTAGGAAGAACATTTTCCCCCCAAGGGCACGGACACTCCGCATACCTGTTCCTCCCCACATTTCAGCCCGAGAGGTCTCAAGAACTTAGAGTGAAAACATACCGTGTGTGAGACTGCCAGCCAGAAATCTTGGCTGTTGTACAATGTTCCTTTTCATCGATTTCCTCTAGCCCCCTCAAAGCCAGAACTGTATATCCTCTGGTGAAGATGAAAGGGCAGCATAAAACACAGCGAGCACACTCACATGCTATTTGTAACTGTCCCCCTGGCAGCTTTTCCACTCTAAGGCTGGAAAAAACGGGCTTTCCTTGTCTTCATGATAAGTCACTAAGACCTAAATATTAACTGATTTTTGGTTTGATCTTCATTTCTCTTGCACGTCCAAGTCTTGCTCCTTCAGACAAACCCTGCTGCTGTCCCCAGAGTCTGTTGCTCCCTTCCTGCTAAATTAATCAATGCCGAGAAATCCTCTTACTAAACTGATCAATCTCAAGAATCACTCTCATTGTTCACATTCCAAAGCAAAGCATTCTAGTGGGCAATACTTAGTCTTCAAAGTTTTGCTTTTATATCAATTTGAGAGCTGATGCGTTTGGGAATAAGGGCTATGGACCGTGTGACGACTACCTTGCCTGTTTCTGGGCCACCTTCTGGCCCTTTCTGGGGGCTCTGGTTACGTAATGGGTGTCTCTCTGTTGATGTAAGCCATGTACTTCCCAGGCACTCTTCCTCCACTATCTACACCAACCCCACCATCAGTTCTGACTAATTTTATTACACTGGAAAATTCCCACCTAAACTAACATTTCAACACGAAGACATAGAAACAAAAACTAATGTCATGAGTCAGTGTGAGTTTCAATAACAGCACAAGAAATAAACGGCTGTTGGAGACGGTTATTCTGAAAGCCAGACACCTGGCCCCAATGTCTTGAATTGAACCAACAGGAATATCCTTTTGTAGATTAGGTCAACACTCCACTCCTAAAAGCTACTAAGAGAGTACTGTATAATGGTCTGACATATATTGTCCCCAATACACAAAGTAGTGATTATTGACATTTTGTGTTTTTAATCCAATAGTGTAGTCAAAGAACCAACTATATAAAAACCTTTGTTCTTCATCCTGGTGATGTGAGTATAACCACTTTCGCTGAGGTTACATTAAACTGACCTCAGCTGTATTCCAGGTTCAGAGGTGGGCTCTCCATTTCAAGGTCCAGCCCCTATAAAAATTAGGGACCACCAAGCAGTTATGGAAATGACAAACATGCCCATCTATATAGTTCAAAAGAAAATAATTGGCCAAAAGTGTTCAGTACTAATAGTCCAAACCATCAATGACACAGCATTGGTCAATCTAATGACTTCCTCTATTCATCCTATAAGTTGATCATTCTTATGAGTTCCCAGTGGGAATCTCTTGCTTCGTACTCATAATAACACCCAATGTTTCTAGAAAGATCGTGGCTACCAAATCTTGCTAAGTGTTTGAGTTATCTGTGGGTGACTGGGTCACAGAAGTGGACATCAACTTTCTTCATCAGCATGTGTCACTGCTAAACAGATCTTGCGTAAGAATCTTTTTTTTTAATAAATGAGGAAAATATCTCGTAAAAATGACTTCTGAAAAGCAAAATCTGGACAAGGAGTGGCAGATTTAGTCTTAATGAAGCTTTGATTTGGTTTTGAAAGCGAGCACATTTTTTGGAAGACTCTCATCAGAACAAAATACAGAACCAAGTTTAATTTTTCAGGACTAGTTTTTGTGTCATTTTCAGATTTATGCAAAGTTATGAAATAAACTTCACACGAGCCATACGCAGGGGAATAGAGGTTGAGAGAGAAAATTTTAAAGAAAACAAAAGCTTTGCTTCATTCTCTTTATACCTTCTAAGTCATTTTTTTACTCTGTGTGCCTCCAATACAGACTACTACCACCCACAAAAAATTCTGTTTTAACAGAAGCCCCTCTCATGCGTGATGCCACAGCCTCTCCGAAGTGACCACCCTGAGACTGGTGCTGTGTTCCAGAGTGCCCAGCTTTGGGCAAGGGTCCAGGCTATGTTTCCCAAAAAGTCAATAAGGTGAAAATGATCTCTGCCAACATATGATGTTTATTTTACTTTTGTGAAAAGCTCATATTTCCTCACGGGAACCTCAGTGATGTGGGATTGAGAAGTGAATCCTGTTTAAGCTGCCACAGGCCATTTGCACTGCTTGTTTTCCTGGGAGGACTGGCAGGGTTATCCCCCCACCAACATGGCTGCCACAGTCTATTCCCCAGGGGCAGCAGTGAACGTGGTGGACATCCATGGTGCTGTCATCGGCTTGACTGGCCTCAGTCCTCCCCTCCACAGCTCTTGTTTTAAAGCCCCGTGTGATACAACCACGTTCTGCCCCATCACAGCAAGCAACACCTCAGCGTGGGAGTTCTGGGATGATTTCCAGCAAAATGGGCTAATCTACTGAAAACACATACATGGGTCTCACAGGAGTCAGCTAAGAAGTGAATTACTGAGCAGAGATGGCATTTCCTGCTCTGTGGTTCTGCCCCAGTCCTGGGGCCCTGCCAGCTCTCCGTTCTACTGTGGAAACAGCATTTGTGGAGCGCACACGGCCACTGCCGGGCCTTGAGGGGTAGTCTAGGTCTGTGCTCCAGGACAAATAGCCCCTGACACTCAGCAGCAAAATTCTGAAAAAAAACAGTAACAAGGAAAAGGCCACTGGAATTTCCTAAAGTGACAGGGTCCCTGAGGAAGAGGAAGGGGTGAAGTTCCAAGGACAAGGAGCTCATCCCAGACCGCATAAGATTTGCCTGAGGTGCCCGGTCTGCTGACCCACGCCGGGCTCACTGAACATCACCCACACCGCCCAGGGGCAGGGACAGTAGCTGTCCCCTCTGACGGTGCGGCTTTCACGCCGGCTCCGGCCCGCTGGCTAACCAGTCCACACCAGGGTGCGAGGAGGAGGCCAGGCCTGATGAGAAGGCTTCGAGAACAGGGCTGAGGCTAACCTCATGTGGTTTATTTCAACTGTCCTTACATTTCCCAGGTAAGTAGGAGAGATGTCATGATCCCCACAAGAAAACTGAGGTTCAAAAGGTGAAGTAACTGACCCAAGGCCACGCAGCTAAGTGCCAAGCAGCCCCCTGAATAATTCAGCCACTCTGACGCCAAGTTCCAAGTTCTCATCCAACCACCCCTCTTCTGCTAACAAATGGAAACAAGGGCCCTGAGCCGTACAGGCCCCCTTCCAAGTGTGAGCGTAGTGCCTTGCACAGGAGGCAGTGCAGTTGCGTGTGTGTGTATGTGTGTGTGTGTGTGTGTGTGTGTTTTAATGGACCAGACAGTATACTCAGCAGGGAGGTAATGAATAAGAGAAGACCCCTCCCCCAAGACTGCCCAGGAAACTGTCCCCCGACTGCACGGAGGCCCCTGACTCTGCAAACAGGGGTGAGGTGAGAACGCTATCCCTCTGAACACAGCCTGCTCTCTCAAACCTCAGAGTTCAGAAAAGCCAAGTACTTTTTTTCAGGTATTTTGAAGATTTCCTTTCTGTAAAATTCTGAGTTATGCATACTGTCAAGCAGCTTTTATAGATCTCTTCTAGATCGTCTGGTAGTCTTCTTTCAAGCTGATGCACACGTTAAGGAAAACTATCCATATGTTTCAAATTCACTTGCAATGAAATTATCTAAGTGTTTTCTCTAAGCCATATGCAAAGGCCTCACAGAAGCCTTCTGAAATGTTTCTGATAAATCCCTGTAATTGTTTTATCTTGAAAACAGGAAGTCACAACAGCCAAGAGCTGTCACTTTCACATCCACCAGTGCTAAGTGTATTTTAAACTTGGCAGGACACACACCCTCCAGCCCTCTTGCTACAACATAAGCAGGTAGGTTTTGCTCAGAACTGGTCGATCACAGAAGAACTACAGCGATTAACTGCACACCCTGTACCTGGCAGGTCAGCTGGTGAAACAATTACCACGTAGATTATAGTAAACATCCGAAAGCCAGGCAGAATTGGAACATCTCTCCTGATTTGTATCGCCAGTGAGGCAAACTGGCAAGTATTCTGAAATTGTAGGGAATCAAAATCTGTTCTTTTCACCAAAAAAAAAAAAATCAAAATTCAACATGATGCTTTTCCCATTTATAACTCAATGCTAGTTAAACGTGTTAGCTTCTGAATTGAGCCTCCATGGGCTCGAGAGTCTGGGTCTGAATCTGTCTACCTCTCACTGCCCATGTGAGTTGAGAGCCCTCAGCAAACCTCAGTTTCCGCATCTGTAGAGTAGTGTATAACATATCAGGTTTTGTAATCTATTCCACATAAGGCATTCCATGCCACACTGGCATCAAGCAAGCTCATACGAAGCGCTAGTCATGTCTGTGGTTGTGATTAAATGAAATCCCTCATTTTTCTGGTTCACTGGATGGGTGGGCTGCTCCTTCCAGAAAGTGAGCTGTGGTCACATCACAGAGCTTTCCGCGATGCCTGACACACAGTGGGCACTAAAAAAAAAAATGTGTTTCAAAGAACCAGACCTGAGCGAGAAAGATGGACTTGTTGTCAAAGACTACATTGGGCTGGGGGCAGGGGGGCGGGTAGCTCAGCTGTAGAGCGAGTGCTTAGCATGCACAAGGTCCTAGTTTCATTCCCAGCAACTCTGTTGAAAAATAAATAAATAAACCTAATTACCCACCCCCCCAAAAATATAATAAAACTAAAATAAAAGACCCTACATTGAAAACCTTTTCAAATATGAGGCTGTGTACATCCAGGTGACTTTTTTTGCACCATAAACTGAAAGCCCTCTTCACTATCTCCATCAGCATCTTCCAGTCACCAGTCACTCT